CAGCGAAGGACCAATTTAATTACCAAGAGGCAAAAACCGTGTGGAAGGTTTTTTAAAATTACTTACAGCTCTGGCAAAGAGTGAGTGTCGAAGGTGTAAATTATAAATGTCCCGTGGTGAAACCAAGCGTTCTTCTAGGAAATGAAATCGAAGAAATCTTCATTTTCCCGCCGATTGGGGAATTTGAATCAAATTTTTGTTTGTTTGGCTCAGCATTTTTTATGTCCATTTCAAAACGCATTTTTAAAAGATTTTAATGGAAAATATGAATAACATTTTTGAAAGCCGCAAAAGCGTAAATTTTCAGTTTCCAAGGATACTAAAGCTTTGGAAGTAACCAAACTTCTGCTGCCATTTTCTCGTTAATTTTATCTCCGACACCAGGCGACCCCCACCTCTTTCAGTCGCAAATATCTCAACTTGTTTTCCGGACAGATGGGTACTGTTTTTACCAAAAGCAATAACAATGAACTAGATCTATCTTTAAAGACAATACCAATTTATAACTCAATGCGTCCAAAATTTGTCGAGCGTCAGATTCCACTGCTTCGTGCGTGATGCAAATTAAATACAAACATTGGGAGTTCACTGCGTCGTCAGTTGTTTCCCGACTTGGTGGTGTGGCTAATGCACACGTGACTGTGGATGCTGCCACAACAAACACAGAGGTCAAGGACGAATTCTGCTTTCCCAATCCTCGGGAGCCCGTAGTTGTCGTGGTGTGGGTATTTAACAAACACTGCTCTGTTCACGCAAGTATTTGCGTTTGCTATGGTTGTTCCAAACCCTGGATGTTTTGAGGCCAGAGTAGGTGTCTTGGGTTCTTGAGTTCTAGCTGTATGTATGTAAACGTTCATGGAAGGAGCTGTAAAATAAGTCAGTGCTTATCACAATCAATCAACAATAAAATCTGAAAGATACAATATAAGCTGCTGGTGATGCAGTTCCGGAATAAAAATCTTAATAGTGATAATGTCTATAAATATTATGATAACAATGATAATAATAATCATCATAATCATAATGTTAATAATAAGTATTATTATTGTTATATATCTAATAATAATAATAATAATAATAATAATAATAATATAATAATAAGCATCGTCATAAATGATATATAATACATTGCATATATATAAAGAGAAAGAGACAGACAGACAGACAGACAGACAGACAGACAGACAGACAGACAGACAGACAGACAGACAGACTGGAAGTGGGAGAGAAAAAAAGGGGAGAAAGAGATAGTGATTGAAAAAGACTGAAGGAAAGAGAGAAAGATAGAAAGTGAGAGATAGAGAAATGCAACTTTCTCGTCCAACTAATTTGCCGTAACAGGATTCCTGGATTATCTTGCCCTAACCGTAAAGATTGACGTAAAACAAAGTAAGAGGCAAGCCAACAACAACCTAATATTGAACCAGTACGATTTCTCGGGATGCTGAGGATAGTCGGCATACTCTCAACATATCTTAGGTTAACTGGATACAGTTGAGACCAGTGATCGGTAATGTTCTGTTTCAGACCAGGCTCTAGAGACCGGGAATGTCTATGTGCATTTGTGTGTTTGTTTGTCTGTGTGTGTAAGTGTGTATGTGAGGGAGAGAAAGAGGAGAGAGAGAGGGAGAGAGAGAGAGAGAGAGAGAGAGAGAGAGAGTGGGGTGGGACAGACACACAGACAGACAAACAGACAGACACACACACGCAGACAGATTAGTGGAGATCAAACGATCCTTTATCGTATCAGCCTTGTTTCGCGTCTGTGCCAAACCACGATATTTGGCCATTGTTTAGGTAAGTTTTACGCCACTTTCACTTCTATGAGGGCATATAACTGCGAATATTATAACAAAAAATTAAGAAACACAAAAGTGAAGGAGAGATAAGGATGATAAAACGGTGAAAAGGAGAAAAGGAGCAAACCACATTAGAGCACCCGCCAACCACCTACATATTTGATCCATCATTAGTGTGCACCCCAACACTGAGCTTTTTTTCTTCTTCTAGATACATTGTACATAATGTACAACTTTAATCTATGTTTCTGACACTCTTTACTTTTTTTTTTTAATCAGCTATGTGTCTCTCGTTATTTTCTCGTTCTTAACATTAAATCTAAGTTTATCACACTATTCTCCTGTTCTTTACTCTATTATTAGTAGTAGTATAGGGTTTTACGGCGCTCGCAAATGCTAAGGTCATATGAGTTCTTTACTCTACATAAATTCTATTTTTGACACTGTTCTCAAATTCTTTATAGGAAATGTTTGTTTATTACACTTTTCGCATGGGTGGTTGGTGGGTGCTCTGGTGTGGTTTGCTCCTTATTTCCAATCAAACATCTATCGTCCTGATCTCTCCTCCTTCTTTATTGTGTTTGTTAATCTCTTATAACACCTCTAGTCTTCGGCACTTATATGACCTTATCGTGTTGCTAGTGCCATAAAACTCTTACTAAAAAACACTGTCCGCTTGTACTTTTCTTTAAATCTACGTTTACGGCACAATTCTCTTGGCCTTGGTTTGATGTGTACACTGTCATAGTTCACATGCCTACCTCTCCCAACAGAAACCCCCAAACCTGAAATAATCAACACACTATTCTGGTACAGCAGTCATTTATCCCAAGGCATGGAAAGGTTGAATTGACGTGAAGGCAACTCTAGCCCTGTTGACAAGGAAAACATCAGGCAGGGAACACTGTTGTCACGTAGAAAATAATCTGAGGGTAAAACTAAATCCATAGGTTTGAGGGAATCACTGAACATATCTCACCATGCTGGCTGATGGGCATAAACAAACAGGGTCGTCACTCACAATCCACAATAATAGTATGTTTGACTTCGGAGCGCGTTTGTGTGTGTTTTTCTATTCTGTGTGTGGTTGGCGGGTGCTCTGGTGTGGTTTGCTTCTTCTTTCCTATGAAACATTTATCCTCCTTATCTCCCCTTCTTCTTTTATTATGTTTGTTACTCTCTTGTAGCCCCTCTAATCTTCTGGCGCTCAAATGACCTTAAGTAGTTGCAAGCGCCGTATAACCTCTACTAAAAATAAACACATTACCTTCTTAGCTTGTATAGAATATGTCTACTCGGTAGGAGTTGATTTAAACACCCCAGCAGTCAGACAGAGACACTCGATTACTAAGTGAAAAAAAGAAACAAAATAACTTTCCCCAAATTGCACCACTGACGTCGACCCTCAGACAGACGTTATTCTGGCTTATAGAACAAGAAAAAGAACCAACATTATAAAGAGGGGGGGGGGAGGGGGATCATAATTATCTGCTTTGACTGACGTTTCTTTGGTGGAAACATTTATATGGTCGTTATGAACACAACTAGGCCTTTGGGTTCACCTCCATGGCTAGTCAGTTGTCCATAACACGTCACATCAAAAGACTGGGCTGGTCATGCCGCGAGAACAGATGGGAGGCAGACTGTTCTGACCAGTCACAAACACACAAACAAACAGTTAGACAATCTGATAGAAAAACTTACAAAAACAAAACCCCCAAAAAGTGTGTGTGGTTTTGGGGGATTCTTTTTTGTTTTGCTTTGTTTGGGTTTTTATTTTGTTTTGTTTTGATTTGTTGTTTTGTTGTTGGTTTTTTTTTGGGGGGTGGGGGGGTTGTTTTGTTTTTTGTTTTTTTGTGGGGGGGGGGGTTTGGGGGGCAGAGTTGGAATGAATAGTTCAACCTTTGTCATTGTTATCGGTTTAACACAATAACATAATATACTGACTGTATGTTACCCATATCTAAAGAAGAAACAATAAAGCAATGTTTATATTAATATAATGTACATATGTGAGTGGTAGAGGAGTTTATTTAACTGACGATTGTTTGGTAGATTAATGCAGTACATGTACCTGTTTGGTTGTTATAAACCCTACTAGTACCTGTACTGGGCACATGCTTTCCTTGTTCTAGCGAGTGAGGTGACCATGACTCGTCACATGAAAGGGTAGTTCGAGCTTTGTTGTGAAAACAGATGGGAACCACACTGTTCTGGTCTTTGGAGGGTAGTGATGGGGAGGGTGGGGAGGGGAAGGGGGTCACGTAGTCCATCATTCAGCTTCCATTAGGTGGGGAAAAGAGGGAATGGGTGGTGGGTGGTGGGAGGGGGAATAGTTGGGTAGGGTGGGTGTAGTTTGGGTTGCTATAATACTGAGGAATTTGGTTTTATAATTGATTGGACAAAGGTTGGAGAGGAAAGAGGAGGGGTTGAATTGGAAGTGCGCGAGGGGAGGGGGGTATAGAGTGCAGGGGAAGGGAGAGAGAGAGAGAGAGAGAGAGAGAGAGAGAGAGAGAGAGAGAGAGAGAGAGAGAGAGAGAGAGAGAGAGAGAGAGAGAAGCACTCATACTCGCAGAAATACATATAATTAATATACACATAATTCTCGTCGTTTTAAGAAATACAGTATGCAGTTTTTACAGTTTTACGTGAAAGCCCAAAACCTGCATGTCTTAACCAAGAAAACAACAGTTGCTTTAAAGAAAGCATTGAAATTAGTATGAAATATGTACTCTTAAAAATATTAGTTTCGAATGTTTGCAAAGAACTTGATTTCTTGGCAACATTATTCATTGTTTTGTTTCCGTTTAAGAAAAAAAATGCATTGTTAAGTTATTTGTATTATAGTTTTTAGTTTAGTAGACGTTTTACGGCGCTCGCAGTAACGACAGAACCCAATATAATATAGTATAATTAGTTTAGTATAATCGAATAGAAAAAAATAGAATGTAATGTAATATTATGTTATATTTATTAATAAAATACAATACAAAATATAAGTCTGGAGGTGCTAACCCTTCTCCTTCTTACACACACACACACACACACACACACACACACACACACACTCACACACACACACACACACAAACACACACACTCACACACACACACACACACACACACACATTTGTATAATAGATCTAGACAGTGGATATTTTGACAATATGACCAAAAACTTTGATTGTTCTATGTTCACAGCTGAAATTGGAGAGCCAGAGAGAAATGTGAACGTTCAGTTGGACGGAGAAGAGTCCGTGCTTCACTTCCTAGACGAAGAGCAGGTACTGTACATCTCTGTTGTTGTAGCAGAGGTTTTACGGCGCCCGCAACTGCATAAGGTCATATGAGCGCCAAGATACATCTCTGTCGTACCTTGACAAAACTCCTTTTTCTTATTCACGGGAATTTCGAGATAAAACGTCGTATTGTCAAAGAATGTAACGGTTTACAAAGGGCTTTTTTTTCCCAAAATTTGAATTCTGTTCAATTCAAAAACTAGTCACGGTTCCACTTTTGATTTTTTTCACACAAGTAGAGCAAGTAACCTATCGATTTAGCAAATTTAACAAATTGGCGCCAAAAATGAAAACAAAGCATTTTGTCAGCTTAGGACAGATCTGAAAACAGTTTCTCTTTGATTTTCTATCACTGTTAGGCTATCAGACTCGCAATCCAATGATTGTAGTTTCAAATCCTGTCTAGTGTTCTATGTTGTGTCCTTGGGAGAGGCAGTTTACACGATTTGTACATATTTCACCCACCCAAGAATAAATGAGTGAGTACCTCGCCATATACAACAAAAGATCCCGTCAGTTTGAAAGTCTTGAATGTATGCTTTCCGAGAAAGCAAGGGTGTTTCTGGGTGTTTTAAGGTCTGCTAGGGTAATAATATTGGATTGTGAAGTTTACAGAGCCTTCTGTCGAGTGTTTATATGCGCTATACACTTATTATTTATTTGTTTATTTATTTATTTATATTATAATCATTATTGTTTGCTGCTATTATTATTATTATTATTATTATTATTATTATTATTATTATTATTACTATTATTATTATTATCATTTAATTATCATCATCGTCATCATTGTCTTTTTACGATTTTAACTTTATGCAGCACCACTGTTACATAAAATAAAACCAGAAGTACCCCCAATGTATCCTTTGAGTAAGTATGCTTATTACAGAACTTTGAATCATCAGCCGTTCCACAGTTCAGCCCTAAATGGCATCCGAGTTAAGTTTCTCCGCGCGAGATCTAACATCGACAAATAAAATTTAATGCTCTATGGAACCTCTCAGCAGTGGCCGCAAACCTGCTGGCACCACTGAATTGGAGAAGATGGCGAGAGCGCAGTTGTTGCTGGATCGAAAACAACAACAACAACAACGAAAACGACAACGACAACGACGACGACGACTACGACGACGACGACGACGACGACGACGACGACGACGACGACGACGACGACGACAACAACAACAACAACACCACAACGGAAGAAACAACAACATTTTACTACCTATCACCTTGTCTGTGTATCTACTAATCTCTGGCCCCCTCCCATCGTCCCTCGCAGTGTTTTGTCATCTGTTCTCCTTATTCCACACTCCTATTTCACCATATTTTGTCCTTTTAGCTCTTTAACTTTCAGATAATATTCATGTGTCCTCCTCCCCATCTGGTTCGCAGTCTGTGCTCCCCCCTCCCCCCTCCCCTCTCTCCTTACTCGTATTCTTCTGTCCCTCCTTGTCCTTCTTTCTCCCTACAACCTACCCATGAGTCCTCCTAACCCTTCACTCCCTTTCTGTCTGTCTGTCTGCTTTTCTATCTGTCAGTCTGTCTCTGTTTCTGTCTCTGTCTGTCTCTCTCTCTATATATATATTATATATATATATATATATATATATATATATATATATATATATATATCTTTCTCTCTGTCTCTCTCTTCTCTCTCTCTCTCTCTCTCTCTCTCTCTCTCTCTCTCTCTCTCTCTCTCTCTCTCTCTCTCTCTCTCTGTCTATCTCTCTATCTATCTCTTTCTTTTTATTCTTTCTCAAGCTACCAATGAGTCCTCCTCACTCTTCATTCTCAATCTCTCTTCATTCCCAGCACCCAGATTTCGAGGCGGAGGAGATCCCCATCGACGCCTATGTTGTTGTGTTCTCTGTCTCGGACACACAGTCCTACAACCAGGCCGTCAAAAGCCTGAAGACCTTGAGGGAAGTCCACGGAACCAACAAGGCTGTCATCCTAGTGGGGAACAAGATCGACATAGCCAGGGGAAGACGGGTCACAAAACACGGTGTGTGAGCCACACGGCCAGTTTTTTAAATTATTATTTTGTTTTAAATTAATATTTTAAAATTTAATTTAATTTATTTATTTATTTATTTATTTTTTTATTTATTTTTTTTTTTGGGGGGGGGGGGTCCTTTACGAGAGGACGTTCATAAATAAACCCTTATACCGGTTGCCCATTGCAAATGACGTCGGGTCGGGTCGGATCGGATCGATCGCCCAACTCTTTGCCTGTAAACAAATGCATTTGTTTTTGAGGAGACTAGTTACGAGCGGTCGGTTTGTTCCTCGATAGCAGCTTTGCGCCCTCAATCTGGCAAGCAAACCGACCCGACTCAATCCCCCAATGGGTACTCTGTATAACGAGAGCACGTTCAAACCTGTCTTTAATGAGCAGATGTTCATAAGCCTTTACAGGACTGAAGCATAATACCTTCTTTAATGAGGGCACGTTTATAAGCGCCTTTAATGAGGGCACGTTCATTAGCCCTTACAGAAGCCTGATACGCTCTTGAATGAGCATGTTCATAAGCTTTCGTAAGATCGGGTTCATTAGCACGTTCATAAGTCTTAGCAGCGCACGTTCATAAGCCCTGCCTTTACCGAAGTATAATAAGCCCTTGGAATTGGATGGGGCGCCTGCAGAAGTTCAAGATTTATTGGAATGAGCAGAAGGCTATGGAATCAACCATTGCTTGGAACCGTCAGCATCTACACACTTCGAGATGTGCTTTTTCAGAGGACGGAGCGCGTATGAGGATGCCCCTTGTGCAGTGATGTCGGTCCTTCACACAAGTAAACAAGTAAAAAGCCCTTACAGAAGAATACTACGCTATTGAATGAGCACGTTCTTTTAAGCGTTTACTAGACATCCTGGCTCATTGGCCGTCGCGAGGGCACGTTCATAAGAAGTCCTTACGGAAGCAATGTTAATGCGCTCGTGAATGAGCATGTTCTTAAGCGTTCATGAAAGCATGTTCATTAAGCCTTTTCGTGTGTTCGTTTATTTGCCCTTATGCGTGCGCGCTCAAGAGCCCTTTCCAGCTCATAAGCCCACAAGTGAGCACGTTCATTAATCCCTACGGGAGGTTCATTGCCCCTTATAAACACATCATTAATCCTTACAACATAACCCTTTACAAGAGTATGTTCATTAGCCCATACGAGAGCACCATAAAGCCATAAAGTGAGCACAGTTATTGGTCATTACGAGATAACCACAACTCATTTCAAAAGCACGCCCATAGAAAAGCGTCCTTATGCAGTTGCGAGTGCCATAAAAAAAACTCTTACTAAACAAAACTACCAGAAAAGCACCATGGTCCCTTACAGAAGCAAGTTAATAAGCCCTAGAGACCTTAGACGCTTTAATCAGTACGTATATTAGCCCTAACATGGGCACCGTAAATCCTAAAATGAACCCGTCGATTTGCCTTTACGCGGGTAAAATAATTGTTAAATGAGCATTAATAGCTCTTATCATAAGCCCTTACGAGAGCACGTTCATGACCACTGTAAGAGACCACCATAAACCCTTACATGAACACGTAAATAAGCCTTCTTTGAGAGCACTATGGATTGATTATCCCTTACGAGAGCATCACCCGACCTTACGAGAGCATTATAAATCCTTTTATGAGCACTTTCATTAGCGCCTCCCCCCACACACACTTTCAGGCGATTCGTTAACTGGGTAAAACCTGTGGAGCCGGACATCTTTTTTTGTCTGGACAGTGGGCAAGATACTTATCGTTAAAAAGATATTTCTTATTCAATTCCAAGTAAATTTAAACTAATATTTATCAATGCTCAAAAAGCTTTTGGCCGAAGTGGAGGGGAGCAACAAAAAAAAATGCAGGGGTTCACTGGTGTGTTTTTGCCCTATAGAGACGCTTTCCTTAATCTCTAATCTTGTTTTGTCAACACTGGCTCTTTATTAATTTGCCTTCTCAGTTGCTTTTTTAACTGTAGAATAAGTCTTGAACAGCACATTTAGTGCACTTTATTTGATAAATAATTCTATAATACAAAATGTTTCTTGATACTGTCAGCGCATTATTCTCAGTATGACTACATTTTTGGAATTTTAGCCAACCGTCGTTCTGTTTGCTGTCCTGTTCTTCGCTTACTTCCTACCTTTTTACTATAACATTACCTGGTTGGGACTCCAGACCTTCAGACCGACAGAAAAGAGGCAGGTACATTGGGCCTGCGGGGGGGGGGGCTGATTTGGTGACTGCAGGTCAGTTCTACAAACTATGAGCCGCCCCTGATTAGCCCATACGTAAGCCCTAACGAGAGCACATTCTTCATAAGGCCTTACGAGGGCATGTTTATCTGCTCATTCGAGAGACAGACAGAAAACTGCTGCCGACGTCTTTTGTACCGTTCATTATTGTATAAAGTGTAGTTGTAATTGTTTGTTATCGTAGTGTTTGTTATAGTTCTTGACTGAAGAATCCTCAGTAGCCATAAATTATTTTTCACCTTCAATTAGGTAGTAGGCACTGTTTCGAACTATGAAGAGCTGTTGTTCAAAAGGGGTGGGGGATGGGGGTCTCTGTTATGCATGTGTCCTATTATGTTATTTTTGTTTTAGTAAATGCTTTTCGGCCCTTGCAAAACAGTTGAGTGCTAAAGATTAAGCTTTGAGATGTTACAAGAGAGTAACAAACATAAAAAGGAGAGAGACAAGGACGATATTAAATTTGATTAGAAAGAAGGACCAAACCAAACCAGAGCACTCTCCAACCACACACTCAGTGAACCGTTAGACAGTGCCGAGAGAGGAAACACACTACAGTTTGTTCACTTTCGTCTGTCTGTGTGAACATTAAAGATCATTTACGGGGGGTACACTCCAAAAGTCCCAATTCATTTGGCTGAAAATTATGGATTTTGAGTCGTAGGCAAAACTAGCTTCTTCATTCTCTCCTACAACTATTTCAAAGCAATAAAACCCTCTAAAGCCTTATTTCATCCCATACGGGGCATGTTTGTCACCATAATTTCTTCATAAAGTTAATCTTTTTTTTAATCGCCCTTATTCTTATAACACAGTTTTTTCTATATATACTTGTTTTAATAACACCACCTTTTCTATCCAATCTTCGTGAAATTTTCCCAAAATGAAGAGAAGATGTAATACTAAAAATGTGCATGTTTGATATATGGAAGAGATTTTTGTTTGTGGTGTCTGGAATGTGGATTTTCACGGATTTTTTTGCAAACTTTAATACTACCTCACGTAAAAAATTCCATTAAAATCTTCAAATTCGATTAGGAAAAATTCAATTGACTAAATTTGTAAAACTAATGTTTGTTCACTTGCGTACAAAAAACAATCTATTTCCAAGAAAAATAGCACGGTATTCATTACATAAGACATGTCAATAAAATCCAATACGGCTACCGTAGCCATGGAAGCGAAACTTTTTTCTCAAATCTGATTGCGGATTTTAAGACTCCTTACTATACTTGTTATATGTATGAAATTTGGTGAAATGTGATCCGCTAATAAACGAGATAGCCTTCAGGTGTACCCCCTCCCCCTCTAATGCATTGCCTATGTGCCGTGTAGACCAGCGACCAAACAAAACAAACTATATTTTTAAAACCTTAATCCAGTTATTAAAACTTTTCTTATGGTATCTATAGGCTATTAAACACCGCCCTGTGGGTGTATACACGGGAAATATACTATGATTAACATCAACCGAACTTACAAGTTGCTTAATAATACCGCCGCGCCCACACATTTTAGTGTAATAACGTACCCCTCCCCCCTCCCTCCCCCGCCTCACATAATTTACACCTTCTAGACGTCAGGAGGTGTGTCTCAAAAACTATTTTTCTGTCTAGTTTATTGGACTTTGTTTCAAAAGAGTGCGTTAAAACGTGGTGTTAATGAAAATCGGTCAACATAATAATTTATTTGATGTTTTAGGTGTATACTGCAAGTCATCTTTATTTTTTTTTTAATCTGCTGTTTGCTAACAGCATAGGAAATATGTTTGAACTTTTGTTTGCAATGACATTAATTTATGGGCTTTCAGATTTTGTTGGTGATACAACTTTTAACACTCTTGCCAAGACGTGAAAAGATTAAAGAGGTCGATTTGTTTTCTTTATCTTTAACCGGCGGACAGAAGGAAGTGAGCAATGTGAAAGAGGACAAAAGCAGTCTGACCCCATTTCATATTCAAACCTGTAACTTCCTATCATTTGCTCAACTATTTTTAATTGATGGCGGGATGTCTGTAAACAGACAATACCCGCCTCGGGAACCGTTTCTGCCATACGTACGGTCCCTCTATGATTATGAGTATAGGCTCTGAAGGGTTGGAAAGAGGAAGATCCAGAGGCGGTGGGTAGTGTTTGGCCCATGGGGTTTTATCCCACCCCCACCTCCCCCCCCCCCCACCCCCCAAAAAAGCTATCCCAAAGTAAATGAAAGTTTCTTAAATAACAAAATAAGCAGTTGAAACCGTTATGATCGCTCGCAATGAACACAGAGTGATCAACGGGGCGGTTTGCTCGTTTATCCAATCACTGTTGCCCCTGCTTACAACTATAGTAATCTAACAGCCAATCAAATATCTTAAGGGCTCAGCAAAGGATGAGCCCATTCCCACGCCCATTCCGTAACGAAACTTTTCTTGTAAAAAAAGTAGAAGACTGGAAAAAAGAACCCTGTACTGAGGGCTCATGCTCTCCTAGCCCTATCAATAGAGTGAAAGTATACGACACACTTTCCTGCAGTGACACCGATACCTACGCTCTCATTGGACCTTTGTTAGATGCCTTCTATTTTCCGACTGCACAACCTAATCCAGCACAGAGACGGAATATGTTTGAAGTGCTGTGTGTGCATGTTTTTGTTTGTGCCGCTGATATTTAGCAGTTATAAATCACGTCGTTTCCACTTTTTAGGCAACTTTTTCACCCAGAACAAAGAGGTGGAAGACAAAGGTGACCCTTCTCGTTTGAATGGTTCTCCCGTGGCTCACGGTGACTATAGAAAAATCAGTACTGTTTAGGTCTTATTGCTTACTATTTGGTGGTAAAGAAGTGGAAGCAGTCGAAGCACCACCAAAATTTTGGTCCACTAACCGCCACTGGGAAGGTCTGGCCCTGTGCGTTATAGATATTATAGGTTAATAGGCTGTGTATGTGCACTGGTGTGTATAGATCTACGTATGTGGCTTATGGCTCGAAACTTTGAATCGCTTTTAGAGGTGGTATATCTACAGTGAAAAATGCTCAGAAATGCCTGACCCATGAGGTGCTCTTTTTACCCTGTCAAGATAGATAACTGAGTTACAATCTGTCGTTTCCTGTAGATTTTAGTTCAGTGTACATTGCCCTTATCGTGTCATCAAATTGTAATTGTGTTGCCACCAAACATTGTTTTACATCCTTCAGAGAATGAAAGTTACTATTAGCCCACAATCACTCTGGATGTTATTCGCGTTGACATATTTGGTCTTGGTTTTTCCGTAAACACACTGTTTTCCCCTGAGTTCTGCCTTCAGGTGCTCTGTGTCGATCGCATCAGCTGTTTTGATACCTTCTGCTCTCACTCAGTTTCACCTGGAGTCAGAGCAGATTGTTTGTAAAGGGAAAAATGGGTGAGAAGGGGTGGGGGGGGGGGGGCAGGGAGTTCAGAAAGATGAACTCAAGTTATTTACTTCTGGTGAACGAACAGCAAAACGCTAAAACTCTGAGTGGGGGGGGCTACACTGCTATAGTCATTTATTTACTACCCGTATGTTGTTTGTCCTCCCACCTACTATTTCACTTGAAAAAACATGGATCTTTTGAGGCCAGTATTCTTTGCCATATCGACAGACTAAAGGGCTAGAACCCAAATGGCTGCTGGATCGGAATAGTAAACTAAAGTAAAGTAGCTGTGGCCAGCAAAAACCCATCATTAGTCCCGAAAATAGTCAAGTAAAATGTCAGACGTACTTTTCAGGGCCAGAGTCTTTGTACATGTCAAGTACCTGTCAGGCAGAATGATTTATGAAAAGAACAAAATTAATAATGCATGCGCTCCTTCGAATACTGTCCAGATCTCATGCTATGCCCTGTGGAAACTGGTTTTAGTCATTAATAACACGAATAACACCTCAAAGCTGTCATACAAACGATGGAAATGTGGAAAAATGAAACTTTTTTTTTCAACCTCAGATAATGGCTAGACCGCACAGTTGCAATGGATACTGCAGCTGTTTGTTTGATGGTTGCCTAGGCTACAGCTCAGTTTAAGAACAATTGCAAATGACGAAGCGTGGATTTGACAATTTAAAACTTCACATCGTAAGCTAATGTTGTGGTTTAAAAAAACCACCACCAACAACAACAACAACCCCCGTCCAGGAATAAAAAGACGGCTTACTGCACACACAATTAATTATGATAAACATGAATTTTGTTTTAGACGGCCTTTTGGTTAAAAAAAAGTCTACTGTTCCTGGTCCAGGGGTCGGATCCACCTTTTGTGTGTGTGTGTGTGTGTGTGTGTGTGTGTGTGTGTGTGTGATTGTGTGTGTGATGTGTGCGTGAGTGAGTGAGTGTGTGTGTGTGTGTGTGTGTGTGTGTGTGTGTGTGTGTGTGTGTGTGTGTGTGTGTGTGTGTGTGTGTGTGTTAGGAATTCGCTAACCAGGTGTCATCGAGTTGTTTGTGTCAGTGACTTTAATTGTCAGTATCATGGCGAGACAGACTTTTTACGGTTGTGAATTCGTCATTAGTGCATAATCTTTTTATCTGTTTGTTTGTTTGTTTGTTTTGTTTTGCTTTGTTGTTGTTGTTGCTGTTGTTGTTGTTGTTGTGGGGGTTTTTTGGGAGAGTTGTTTTGTTTTGTTTCTTATGTGGGGGGTGGGGGTCATCATGAGAGTTGTTAGTCAGCCGATGTAACACCCTTTACAGGTAATATGCCATCTCTGACTCACTCACATCATTACACAATTTTAACACGCCAGTCAACACGAGAATTGGAAACAGATCAATCCAAGTGAATATAATCAGGTGGGAGGTTGGAAGATATTAATGATAGGACCAACCTATGTTTGGCTTTTTCCCCGAACAAAATGATAAATAATTATACTCATGTTTGTCCTACCAAACCTCAAATTAATGTCATTATCTCCTTTTCCATCTCTACCTTTTATTAAACTGTCTAAGGACACCTATAATCAGCTGCACTTATATTATGACTCATCTGTGCTACAGGTGCCATAACTCTCACTAAAAGTAACAACTAATTATTATTTTATCGATGCTTCTATTTATACAAACTAAAGAAAGACAAAAGTTAACCAATCGCACCAAAATGACTTTGATATGTAGGGACTCCATGAGATAAATAAATAAATAAATAAATGAATAAATAAATAAATAAATAAATAAATAAATAAATAAATAAATACAGACAATCGTCTCTGGAGCATGAAAAAGGTTCAAGCCTTCCTTCTAAATGACGTTAAGGGGGGGGGGGGGGGGGGGGGCTACACCTGGAGGCTATCTCGCTTATTACTAGACTGAATTTTACCACATTTCACACATATAACAAGCATAGTAAGGAGTCTTGAAATTCGCAATCAAATTTTAGAAAAAAGTTTCGTTTCCATGGATACGCAGCCATATTGGATTTTATTGACATGTCTTAGATAATGAATACCACACTTATCACTAATGGAAATTTATTGTTTTTTTGCATGCGTGTTCACAAATATTAGATCTAAAAATCTGTTAGTTGTTTTTTTCCTAATCGAATTAGAAAACTTTTAACGAATTTTTTCCTGAGGTAGCATTCAAGTTTGCGAAAAATCCGTGAAAATCCACACTCCAGACACCACCAACAAAAATCTATTCCATATATCAAAAATTCAACAGACACATCTTTAGTATTACCTCTTTTCTTCATTCTGTGAAAATTTCATGAAGGTTGGATGAAAAATGGTGGAGTTATTCAAAAAAGTATAGAGAAAAGTAGCATTTTGAGAAAACGACCGATAAAGAAAATTAAAATACTGACTTTATGAGGAAATGGCGGTTACAAACATGCCCGGTATGGAAAAAAATACGATTTTGGGGGGTTCTTATGCCATGAAATAGTTGTAGGAAAGGCTGAGGAAGCTAAAAATGCCTACAACTCAAATTCCATGATTTTGAGCCGAATTTTGATTTTGGGGGTGTAGCCCCCCCCCCCCCCTTAATTGTATCGACCACTTTGCTGTTTCTTGAGAACCTTATGGGCCAGTTTATATCCCTTGCAAGGCATTCCTTTCTTCCAGTTGGTTTTTCCATAACGCGACAAATGTTGTTTACGTACCAACTTCCTTGACTACTGCACCATCAGCGTCATCACGACGTGTCCGAAGGTGTGAACAGGAGGCTAGCCGAGGGGTGCCAATAAGGCCGTGTTACTTGTCAATCGAGATAATAAGTAACAGTTGCCGCCTGAGGGGTCTACGTGCTGCCATTTCTCTGTGGTGCTTTTGTTGATTCTGTTTCAAGTTTTAAACCTACCCGGTCTTGTAAAAGCGTGAACATTTCGCCATTGACATTGGTTCAGTGGCAGAGCCCATTTTCACCTTCCAGGGAGGGCAACATTTAATGATGAATGATATGCGTATTGTGAGCGTTTCTTACTGCTGCCTGCTTCCTGTTGAAAATAAAGAACCCAAGTAACTATATTACTGTCTCTAAGATCTTACCTTCCCAACAACAGCTCTCAGATCTTTTGAGATAAGCACGATTTCTAAAAACAACAGCGTCCTCTTCTAGGTTTTCACTTTTAAACCCCATATCCGGTAGAAATCCTGAACAGAGTTACTTACACTACTTCCTGTTATTTTGCTTGGGTTCATCCATCATCTTAAAGTTTGTCTGAAAAGATTGCTTGAATACCTTAATATAGTTCAAGTCTACAGAGCGAAAATTATGAAGTACAGTGTTGCTGCAGAATAGCATATCCGCATTCTGGCATGCTTGACAATCGCCATTTCCTTTGAAAGTACTAATTCTGGACTAACATTGTTTGCATTGATAACTTACACCTGCGTTTGTATATAATTCATCAAACTAATTTTAGAGTCCAATCTGAAATACGAAAGAAGTCTCGAGTACTAACCCTCTCCAACACCAGGAAAATATTGAAACATAGCATTCAGGGGGAGAGGGGGGGTGTTTCAGAATTTATGTCGTCTTTATTCTATATGTAATATTCGCTCCACGGTGAATTTAGAAAACCTGAGAAGGCGTTATTGTAACACATGTACGTCGACAGTAGGGTCGACGTTTTTCTAAAACTAGCGGAAATGTTCGCTTTCTGCGTGCATTTGAAACAGCAATCATCAAAAAGGGTGTTTTTGTTTAATTTTGTTTTGTTTGTTTTAGTTATGTTTTGTTATTTTGTTGGTTTGGTGGGGGGGGGGGGTTGGAGGGGTGTTGTTGTTTAAGGGGGGAGGGAGGCATTATATCTATTTATCCATAACTTATTTTGCACAGAAAGGAACGTAGGAGCACCACTACATTTAACTTTCTTTTTCTAAAATATAATGGCTTAATACTATTTTTCATTAAAGTCAATTCTAATGCAAGACACCCCATAAATTTGTCTCATATCATAACATTAATTTAATGCTTCAGTTTTGAGTCTGTTATCCTGTGGGTAGTTGGAGGGCGCCTCTGTTGTAGGTTCTACTTTTTTTTTAAATCCTTCTGTTGTTTCTGTTTGTCTGTTTTGCATTTCTTCAGCACAGAATGACAGTAGTTACTGTGTCGATATGCTTCTATTCACTCAAACAAACAAACGAAAAGTTATAATCTACTCATGCCTTACGCATGTCCTCCTCAGACGCGATGCGAGTCGCCAAAAAGTACAACTGTCGCTACACAGAGACGTCCGTCGCTCTCAACCACCACGTAGATGAACTGTTGGTCGGAATCTTGAGCCAAATCAGGGAACAGATCAACCCGCCAGCCGCTGCGGCTTTAGCCCCACCCAAAGAGGCGGCACATAGGTCAAGGTCAAAGTCACCAGGGAGAGCTATTACCGATTTCTTCTCCAAAATATTTGGTCAAAATGACAAGAAAGCCAAATCGTGTGAAACATTATTTGTGCAGTAAGAAGGGAACTTGTTCATGATCTATTGTGTTGTGATGTTTGATTTATGTTATCAAGAGTCAAGCGGCGAAGCTGAAAAATCAAGGTCAAAGGGGGTTTACTTGTGTTGGTTTGTACATTGTACTTCGTATCTCGCTGATGAACCCATCTTAACAGTTACTGCTGGAATGCAAGCTCATGAAGTGAAACTTAGCAATACAATGTTGTGTGTACAATTTACAGCATTACTGAATGGAGGAGAATGTTGTTGTTCGTGTGTGCCCACAATGACTGTGTGACTGAACTTTGCATAAAACTGGTTGAAGTAAAAAATATTTACAGACGAGCTCTACTGTGTCTCCTGATCATTGTGGAACAAAGCGTAAAAATATTATATAGTCCCCGAAAAGTCCACGGTATATCTATTTACGTGTAATAAATCTGTTGTATTTGTACATTTTGCCATGCTTTTTCACCCAAGCTGCTACTGTTGATGATTTAGAAGAGTTGAAGAGCGTAGCGTACAGAAGGTATGCGGTGACATACTGTAGTTTGTGGTTCGTGTGCCGATCATTTCTGTTACGTGTTTTGTGAAGGGATGCATCAAACACCTGCGTATATTAACTCTCATAACAGCGCTGTCACGTGTTTTTACCTCCATATGACGGGAATATCTCATCACTAGTCACAGAACTCGACAATATTTTTCCTTGATTTTTTGGGGACATTCTTTATTCGTGTGTTTTATTCAGTTGTATTGAGTATTGAGAATATAGCCCAATGATCCCGACTGTATGTCTCAGCTTCAAGCATATTATTTTTATTATTGTATGGTTTTGGTAAAAAGTCATTTCTGGTCTTTTAGGACGCAGGATCTCTACAATTACAGCACCTCGAAGGAGAATCCGACAAGGGATACCAAGTGAGCCCTCAGCAGTCGAGTTCGTCCTGTATGCTAAGGAAAGAGGAGGGGGTCGCAGAAAGGGTACAAAATGTTCTAAATGATTAAGTCAGTATTCAATCATGCATGATAATGTGCAAGTAGCGCGTGAGGGGCTAAAGAAATATACATGTTTTAACCTCTTTTTCTTTTCCCTCTACTCTGCCAGCAAGTCTACTGTGACTTCCATGATTTCTTGTTTTTGCATCCCCCCCCCCCCCCCCCCCAGATCATCAGCGATAAATTCCTCTGGGTTTGTTTTTTTTCTTCTAACGAATGGCGATAATGTTCCTCATTAATGTGTAGGCATTAAAGATGAAAGGGAAATGTCTGCTTTAAAATGCACAAAGTATATTTTTTCATATATCTAATGGTTTTTGAACCTGTAAAGTGTAATGTCTTGTTTTAAAGAGGAATATTTAATGATCTTCAGGAATACAATCTGTATTGTCAGTACCATCATTGATTTTATTATTATTTACCCTTTTCGGGGTTTTAAAAGTTATTTATTGCTGTTATTTGTCACTTTTTGAAAACACGTTACCCTTTTGAAGCATCGCCCTCTTATTGTTATGAGAAAGCAATATTAAATAGCAATCATTTCTTTTTAATTCAGTACTTGTCTTTTTGGATCTCGTGTTTAGTTACTTGCGAGGCTAAAATGCTGCGCCAGTTGAAGCATTCTAAACCCTAACAAACGAAAGACTGACATTTTAGTCAAGTTTTGATGAAAATTGACGTATGATTGTAATTTAATTGATTTCAGAATTAGAATTTCTAGCTCTGGTAAGATAATAATTGTCCAAAAGTTGTTCCTTTCCTTGATTGTTGTGAATAAGAAAAAAAAGGTGGGGGGGGGGGTAATCTTTGTGTTTTCACTACAGGGGCTTAACTTCTTTAGTAAATCATAACAAATAATCATGATTATAGTCTATACCCCACAACTTGTATGAGTGATTGAATCAAGTTTTGAAAAAAAAATCTTCAACCAAGTATGAACATGTACATCCCTCAAATATTACTATAGCAGTTTGTTAAAAATATAGTCTTTGCAACTTTGTCATAAATGGACTCAGCTGTATGGCGTTATGAACGCAATTCAGATGTCCAGTATAAATGGCAGATCGCAAAGAATTGGTTTCTATTATTTAAAGGGGGAAGATGAAATATTCATGTGAGAAAGATTACAATTGAAGCCACTCGAACTATCGCCAATTTGTAATTAGGTCTCTACCAATTATAATAGCCGTTGTTTCTTTAATTCATGTAATTAGTGTCATGTTGATTTTATATTCTTTGAAGTTACAAATGAAACTACTATTAATGTTGCATTCTTTTCTGTACAGGAGTTAAGATTTCTTGCAAAGTAGTACAATAATTCATTATAATCAGTAGATGTCTACGATTTTATATAAAATTGCCAGTTTGCTGTTAGCAGTAATAATTTTATTTTTGCTTTGATTGTACTTTATGCATGTCCTTCTGAGGTGCCTACTTTTACTGAATTGCCCTCCTAAAAAAAAGCTGAAAAAGTTGAACTGGTTTTGGTATTTAAACACGATTTCATGAAAGTCTCATCACTATCCCTTCTACTGCATTATTATTTGTATGTAATGAATGATGCTGATAGAGAACGCCCTAGTGTGTGCATCTTGTGATTAGTGCCTTAGTTAATATTAATGTGTCATCAGTTGTTGTTGTTTTTCTTTATGTTACCACTTTTTTCAACAAACTGTGGTCATATCTTTGTAAATACTATGTTGCAAGATGTGTGTTTCATAAGTATCATTGCTCTATCTTAGTTTCTTTGTTTTTGTTTCATTTTCATGTTCTGTGGGAGCTGTTTTTTATGGATTAAGTTTGGTTCTTGTTTATTGTTGGAAATTAGGAAGAATTGAGGAGAAAGGAAAGAAAAGAGAAGATAGCTTTTGTATGCTTTTCAAGACATGTGTTACTGTTGCGAAAATCAGATAAAAATGACTGAAAACGTGCAAAGATTTTAGTACATTTTACACAATAAAGATGTACCGAATGTTTCAAATTTGCAGAGCTTGATAGTAAATACTTTCTTCCCCCTTCGTATGTTTGCCTATGCAATATTTCGGTGCATACAGTGCCACAAGGGGCTGAATCTGCTCTCCTTCCCCTTTCCCAAATCTCCAAAGATTCATTGAATGACACCTAATCTTTTCCATCAAACAGTTAATAGTCATTTACAGAAAAGGTAATTTGGGATGTTGATGGACCTGTTTATTCTTGCAAAATTATTCTAGGTTTTGGCTCAATGGCTTACATTTAATAGTTTATTGATTGGGGGAAAAATCATTATACTGGTGTCTGTTGCTTGAAAGATTGTCTCTTTGCCTTGTGCACGGAAGATGTTACACTGTTTCCAAAATGGGGAAAATTAATAGTTTATTAAGCATCTCTGTCTATCCCCAGAGCTTCTGCTCTCTTTGTGTTTGCTTTATGTAGTAGATGTGTAGTCTTCAGCCTCCACTAGAGCAAAATTCAAAAATAATTTCTGAGGTGGGTGGTTGGTGGATGCGCTTATGCCATTTGCTCCTTCTTTCTTATCAAATATCTATCTTCCTCATCTCTCCTTCTTTTTGCGTCTGTTACTCTCTGGTAACGCCTCTGATCTTCGACATTTATATGACTTAATCATGTTTCAAGGGCCGTAAAACACTTACCAAACCGAAAGTAATTCCTACCAAAACTGAAAATACTCTCTAATCAGTATGACAACATGTAGAATATCTTGTATATCAGAATGTGGCTGCCTGACCCGAAGGAAAGGGTTAAGCTGAGTAGGGAAACGGTCAGAATACGTAATAATCAGTTCCTCTGCAGGTTGATGAACCAGTAGCTGACTACTCCAGAGTTCTAACAGAGAAGAAAATGAATAAAGAACCCTTACATCTTATTTAGTTCCAAACGTACTGACGGTGCCTCTACTTTGCAGCATATCAGAAGAAGTCAAGACGGAGGGAAGTTATACTTTGGCGATCTACATCATACTTCCTCGATGTCTACTGCTCAGGCAAAGCTGCTCCCTTCCGAACAAAATAACTTATTCATCCAGTAAAGTCCATTCATTTATTATGATAAAGTCATCATTTGAGTTCCATATTACGTGTCTCCTTTCCTGTGATGTGATTGAAATATATATATATATATATATATATATATATATATATATATATATATATATATATATATATATATATACGTAAAACTATGTTCTCTCCCCTGGAAGTACATGCACGTATGATTAGGGGCGGATTTTTACCATTTTAAGTTGTTATATATACACAGTCTAGATAAGCTCTTCTGGACGAATTTTATATAAAACCAGGACTGCTGCCACCGATTGTATATAACGCTGTGTATGGTTTTTAAATGTGTTTTTTTTCTCACAATATCTGTGTGTGTGCGCGTGTGTGTGTGTATGTGTGTGTGTGTGTGTGTGTGTGTGTGTGTGTGTGTGTGTGTGTGTGTGTTTGTGCCTGTGTGTGTGTTTATCTGATTGTGTTTATCTTTGTTTTATTTTTGTTTTTGGTTGTTTTTCTTTTGGGATTCTTTTTGTTCGGTGGGGTGGGGGTTGTTGTCGTTGAATTTTGATTGTTTTTGTTGTTGTTGTTGTTGTTCAGTGCGCAGAGGGGTGGGGTTGTTATTTGAGGAAGAAACAAAATAATATATTTTAATTTAAATGTGTCTGAATGTTGTATTTGTGTGCGTAGGCCTATATTGTATGGGTGTGTCTGTTTGTGTATCCATGTGTGCCTATGTGAGTGTTTGCATAGGAAAAGTGTCTTTCTTTTCTTCCTCAATAAACGGATGGTTCTCTTCATCCCATTTTAGTTGTGTTTGGAGCCGCCAAGCACGTAAAATTTTGTCCGTGAGAGTGATTCCCTTTGACTTGGAACACGCGCGCAGTACTCATCAATCACTGCGCAACAGTTAGTAGCATCCACTGTGAAGAACACATTCTGTGCATACCTATGTTTTATAATAGAACCTGTCACAAATGATACGTATATTATGAATTTTGAAAAGATCATTATTTTTGTAGATGATTAATTATTTTTTGGCTGTGTAGAATTATGTCTTGTCCATGTATCGTTCTGTCTCAACAAACAAGTCTATGAAATCACCAAACATGTTATTACACAGTGTACTCTCGTCCTCCCCTTCCTGTTTACCTAACCACAAGATTCCAATTAAAAAAAGACAAATCTTGAAGTTCTGGACTTGCTTCCTTTATTAATTTTTATCGGACTACATGACGCTGTCTTTTGGGCTTTTTGTTGTTTTGCTGTTGTTGGGATTTTTGTTTGTTTTCGTGTTTATTTGTTTATTTGTTTATTTGTTTATCTATTTATGCTTTTAATTGGGGCCGGGTGGGGGTTGTTGTTTGTTCGTCATACGCCTGTATGCTTGTTTATCTCTTGTTTTATTTTGTCTATTTTGTGTATTCTCGGCTCGCTCTCTCTCTCTCTCGCTCTCTCTGTCTGTCTCTCTCTCTCTCTCTCTCTCTCTCTCTCTCTCTTTCTCTCTCTCTCTCTCTCTCTCTCTCTCTCTCTCTCTCTCTCTCTGTCTGTCTGTCT